AATTTCAGATCACAGAGGTTCAATCTGTACTCAGAGTGTCTAGCCAGTTTCTGCCCACCCAAGATCCTACACACACACTCAGTGTGGCTGGCCCATTCCATAGCTTGAGCTTTCATGGATACATTTTACTTGTAGTTTGCTAGCTCAATGAGAACCAGTGAGAGAACAGCTCTTTCACCTGGGAATCATACTTGGTGCTCATAATACAGACATGCACTAAGACTTGGTTTAACATATAGATGACAAGGACAACATTTATAAATTTAAAAAATTCATCTGTCTTTAGCCTTTTGGCTATGGTTCAGGTTAGCTTCAGTTTAATATATTATAGTTCCTCCATTAGCTATAGCTCCAAATGCTGGCAGGAGGATGGAGTCAATCAAACAATTTTTTCCCATCTCTAAGTTCTACCAGTGTCTTATATGATTCTAAAAATAAAATAATAACCGGAGGCACTTAGAGATATTACCAGTGTCTAGCGAGAGTGACAACTCCAAGCACACAGAGATTTTAAAAACTAAACATAGTGACCACAACTGTATTATCTTGTCTTTTTGGTGTTTTAATCCTCCACTCCACCCAAGTTTTTATTTTCCTTTTCTCCCTAATTCTCTTTATTTCTTTTCCTCAAATGACCTCATTTTCTATTTGGGTATTTATCACTGAGCAAAGATGAGGGCAATTGTGTGATTCAATTATCGGCATTTCAGTGAGCGTAGATGTCCACAGATAAAATTTCACTGTTAAAACGGAGAAAGCAGTTTCAAAAAGAGAGAGTCATTTGTTGTTTCAAATATAAAAATCTCCTCTTTGGGTTCATTTTATTTTTCATAATTTATTAGATGTCCAGTGCCAAAGATGCGTTTTTGTCTTTTGCCTCTGGCTGGGAATCTAACTTCAGAAGCAACAACAGGAGATAAAATGAAAGAATCCCCCCAAACCACAGTGCATACTGGTGTACGTTGGAAATCAATTAAATTTTCCAACCTTAGTGAAAAAGATAAATAAGCAGGTCTCCCAGGTCCCTTTTAGACCAACATTTCTGGGGCAGTTTCACATGGATCTATTATTCTTCTGTTTCACTTCCTGTCCTAAACTGTTGCATAGCACTGGTACACTCTGCTAAAAATTGTAGCAATCATCCCAGAGTCAGTGGTGGATCTCTTAACTCAGTGGTGGGCATCTTGTAAGGACCTTAAAATGTGTTTAATTAAGTAAACATGTAACCACTGAAAATTTCAGCTGTTAGTGTTTACATGGGGGTGGAAGGGGCAAGAGGGGAGCGAGCAGCAGTGCGAGGTGCGAGAGGACTCCCCGGGAGATGGTGCTCATGGAGAGCCAGCTTTTAAGCTCATCATTTAACCATATACACAGTTACACTTTCACATCCCTAGTTCTATGTGCAGCCTGCAAGATCTTTTGTTCCCCATTGCTCGCATACAGAGTTGGCAGATTCCACTGGTCTCGGTGTCATTTTTTTCATACCAGTTTTACTAAAGCGGCAGGCATGTAAAGCAAGGGCACTTGAAGAGAGGTGCATGCTGATTGCATACAACATCAACTGTGAGAGCCGTGCACTCCCTCTGCATCCAATCAAAGTGCCACTATGGTTCAATCAGCACACCCTGCACATTCTAAGTGTGCAACCACAGTTGGCAAAGCTATCCTATTCCAGAAGACTTATTTTGCTTACAACAGTCTTGCAGCCCATTGAGATGAAGGAGGGCCATTCATGCGGCCCACTCACTAGCCTAGGTTGCCCATCGCTGCCTTAGCTACTTGCCAGAGGTGTTATAAGACTTCATAAGATAATGTCTGCAAAATACTTTGAGATCCTCAGAGGAAAGAGGCTACAGAAAGGCCATTTATTAACATCACTTATCAAAAAGTCAGATGTTTTTTAAATTTCACTTATTTGTTACCCTACCTACTCAGATCTCCATGACTGCCTGAGGGCAACCCCCCTGCATGCACTACAACCCACTGGGGCCTCACTCTATGAGAGTATTGTTTATGAACATTGTTATTCACAAGAAAAGATGATGGCCAACATTTTTTAAAGCAATATTCAATTTTGACTGGTTCTGTTACTTGGGGCCCAACTAACAACCATTTGGATCTGGCTTTCAGAGGTACTCAGCACTAGCTGCTCTTGGTAAGAGCTGAGTGACAATTAGGATAACTCAACAACTCTGCAAAGTCTGAAGGGAGGCACTAAACTCAGAAGCCAATGTTGTCCTTAATGCAGTGACTTTGGCTGACCAGTACGTGCTCTGACCAAGCAGAATAAATCTGGATCACCACGTTTACAGTATACTTACTGATTTCATCCACATCTCTCAGGAATTTCTGCAAATCTTGCTCCTCCTGCTCATTAGCCAGCATGGTATAGAATGAGTAGGGAGGTCAATTAGAACCTAGAGGAACAAATAACAGAAGGGGTGGGAGAAACAAAGTCTAGAAGTAACCTCCTAGTTAATTTAATACAGGTTGGTTGCCAGATCTGGGGAGGCTGGACAGCTCACAAGGTTGGTTCACTTTCCCTTTACGATTCACTTGGGCTGTGACAGTTTGTTTCCACCCCAGAACTACAGTTAGCACCATCTGACAGCTACTCAGAGCATTATATAACTTCAATTTTAAGCTCCTCTGGGATAGGGGATCACAAATCTGATCTAGTAAGTGGTGGTGCCACAAAATCACTTAACAGAACAGACTTTCAAAAGGGCTCAGGACCCAGCAGCTCCCACAGAAATACTGCAGAGAGAAGCTGGCCCTGCTGCTACAACCCAGACAAATCAAAAGGCTCCATCAGCTAGCTGCAAGGAAGTCACACACAGTGGCCAGTCAGAGAGTGGGGCTTGACATCAGGAACAGGGAGCAGCGGGGCTCTGTAGGGACAGGGGGCTGCAGAAGTAAGGGAGGCTCATGGCAGAGAGAGGCTGGGGAACGGGGAGCAGGGAGAGGTGGGGCTAAAAATAAATGGCAGGGGGAGGG